TGTCCACCGCCGACAGGGGGATTTTCAACGAGAAACGAAAAATACCCCAACAATGCTCCAAAAAGGTCCAAATATACTCAAACAATAGCGGGAGGTCTACTATAAAGGGAGATTTGTCCACCGCCGACAGGGGGACCTTCGACGACAAATTCAAAAAATACCCTACAAATGCACCAACAATGTCCAAAGATACGCAAAACATGGTCCTTGGACTATTTTCGGATTACGTTTTGATTATTTATGGGGCCTTTTTTATTTTTTTTCGTCGGAAAATCCCCCGGTAGGGGGACAGGCCCGACTGAAGCTTCGGCCCGCGGCCGCGCAGCTCTCGTGGCCCCGCGGCCTCGTAAGTATGCCCGCCGGCTCGAAGAAGGTCACTCCCGTCGGCGGCGACGCGTCCCGGCTCGCTTATAGAACCGCTTGTGGTTTCCACGAACTGTTCTCCTCCTCCTCCTCCTCCTCCTCCTCCTCCTCGTCCTCCTCCTCGTCCTCCTCCTCCTTCTCCTCCTCCTCCTCCCCCTCATCTTGGGGCACCTTGGACCACCTTTGGTTTCCACGAAATGGTCTTAGAACATTGCTGGTTGGGACTGTCTTGTTTTTTCACACAATGCTTGAGTTCTGAGAACCTTGCTTCTGTTCTTAGGACATTTTCGGGGCTGCTCAACTCCTGCCGGCGGTGAAGCCCGAATCCTCTGAGGGGCGCAGCCATCCTGAAGTCGGGCCCGTCCCTTCACATAAGATTCGGAAATAGTCAAAAAATAGTCCGGGGACGATGTTTCCATTATTGCTCGCTATTTTTCACTATTGTTCAATGTTTCTTCTGGAATCCGCCTGTAGGAGGAGATGCCCGACCCAAAGCTATCCGTCCATGGAGGCAGGTCACATGCTTGAGCCAGAAGGCGTAGAGAGCATCTCTATTTTTGGAGTTTTGAGGAGCTAGTTTGGAGGTAGCTTGGAGGTAGTTTGGAGCCAATCTGGAGGTGGTAAGACCGTGGACCCTCTCCGATCAACGATTCGGGCAACCCGATGGGCGGCGGGGGCAGGATTCGGAATGCCTTCCCCAGACTCCCATGGATTCAGGAGAATCGATTGTCGGTGGCCGTAGGGTTCGAATGTCGCTACTGTGCCCGGGGTCGCGGCTGCGCGTCGCCGACCTGAGGATGGCTCGGAAACGCAAGCGTGGATGAAGGCGCAGGGGTTATCGACGGGTGCCGCTTCTCACCAGAAACAAAACTTGGTTGGCATCGCTCGGACGTGTGCATTTTTTCTCGGCGAGGACCATCGAGGAGCATCGTTGATCATTTGGCGAGAACACCACGCACGAAACCGACAAAAACACAGGGAATGGACGTCCGAGCGATGGCGAGTGGCTGTCCCACTCTCTCGAGCTGGTGGCGCCTCGTTCCGAGCATGCCTCCACAGAGTTCCCGGCAGGAGGTGCCACCAGCTCGAGCGGAGGGAGCGGCCCCCTCCCCCTAGCCGGTGGTAGTGGTGTTTGTGTCTCTCCTGAGCTTCCGTACGGAAACGGCGCGCTCCGTCGCCACATCGGGGGGCATTGGTGCTATGTTTCGGGGGACACTTGACCCGATCCGTGGATGTGTCGCCCTCACGCCAGATCCACGGATCCCTGATCCAAGTTAGCGTGCGCCCGGCTTTGGCAGAGCTCCGGTCTGCGAGCAGTGCGGCCCCCCCCCCCCCAGAGGTGCAGTCAGTAAGAGCAGGAGCACGCACCGGTACCATGTACCATTTGCTCGTCCTGGAGAGCCCTCGTCACCACGGCTGGCTTCGCCTCGAAGTCTTGGCCAGACGGCCATCAGGAGATGTCCATGGAGCGGTGGCCAGCCTCGAACGTATCCCAATCCTTAAGATCGACACGCCAAAAGGCGATGACAATCTTAGGGATTCGCCTTCAAAAAATAAGGAATCCCTAAGATTGGCATCGTGATGAGGAGGTGCCCAGCATAGGGATAGGGATAGGGATCTGTTCCAGGCTGGTAAGGTGGTGTCGGTAGCCAACGACGACGTTTTCAGGCCAGTCGTTTTCATAGGCTTCGGCCTCGGGGGCCGTCGTCGGGCCCCAGGACGGAGCCTGCGCGAGAGACCAGTTGCCCGCGTGGAGTCGGTCGGGACTTTTTTGGTATCAGACAAAAAAAATATGTGGATGTCATTAGGGGAACAGCAAGTGACACAAACATAAAAACTCGGAGGTTCGCGCGGATTTCTCGGATCGGCGCTGGGGCCATCGGCGGCGCCTCTGGCGCCGCCTGGCGCGCTCCGCGCGACAGGGAGGGGGGTCCAGCGCCGATCCGAGAAATCCGCGCGGACCTCCGAGTTTTTCACTATTTTCATGTCACTTTTTGTTCCCCTAGTCAAGGCCCCCAATTGTGCAGTCAAGACTCGGAAATTCAAATGAAAATTGGTACCGACATTTCGTTTTCGCGTTTTGGGGGGGCCACCTGGATGGCCTTCGGCATCACGGCTGGATGTGCCTCGAAATGTTCGTCGGAGCGTACCCAGGAGAGGTCTGGGGAACAGCGGTGTCAGTGTCTGTTGGCTCTCCCACGGACTATTTTTTTTTGGGGGGGGCTTGCGCACGGCCCCCGAGTTTTGCCACAGAGAGCTCGCTCACGGGCCACCAGGAAGCAGCGGACACGCGCGTAAGTTTACCAGCCTGGAACATATCCCTATCCCTATGCTGGGCAACTCCTCATCACGTTGCCCATCTGAGGGATTCCCCTATTTTTTGAGGGCGAATCCCTAAGATTGTCGTCGCCTTTTGTCGTGTCAATCTTAGGGATACGGATACGGCCGAGGCTGGTAACCTCTGGCGCCCCCCCTGGTGCGCTCCGCGCGCCGAAGGAGGAGCGTGAGTTGGCGGCGCGCAGGAAGGCGGGTGTGGGCGAGGGGGGAGGCATCGCTCGGACGTGTGCATTTTCTTCGGCGAGGACCATCGAAGAGCATCCTTGATAATTTGGCGAAAAAGCCACGCACGGAACCGAAAAACAGGGAATGGACGTCCGAGCGATGGCCAGAAGGGGGGAGGCTTCTGAGATGGAGGCTGCTTCTCAGGAGGTGCGGGCCTTTTCCGTAGACGCAGAGCCTGCGCCTTCCACGAAGCAGCTTCTGCCAAGAAGCCTTCCCCCTTTCCCCCCCCTGCCCCCCTGTGCGCGCCGCCAGGTGAGAGGAGGGTCCAGCGCTGGCCCGAGACATCCGCTCGGACCTCCGCTCACGTCTCTTTTGCCCTTCGAGCACGAGGTGAGAAACCAAACCGCACCCCACCGCCACCCGCCGCCCTGGGTACTGACCGACTCGCCAGGCTGCGCGTCGATCGTCCCTCGTTCCGCCGTCGCTCAGTCCGGGATGGCAGCCCTGCTTTGGCCTTGGCCCCTCGGGTGGAGATGGCTCCCCCCGGGCCACACGCACCTATCTCAGGAGGGAAAGAAACAAAGACACAATTAATCGTCGATTCCTCAGAAAATATGAGAAAATATGGGAAGTGGGGGGGAAGACAAAACCCCAGAACGTATGGGAAAATATGGGGAGTCTTTTTATTTGTGTGTATTTATTTGTGTTTCCTGGGGCCCCTCGCACCTATCCCCCAACGCGCTCCGCGCGCGTCGGGAACGGCCCAGGCGCACCGCCAGGCAGGGTGTCCAGCAGCCAGCGCCCGGCCAGGAGATGCGCGCAGACCGCGAGAGATTGTGCTTATGCCTGCTTTTGTCCTCGCCACCACTTCGCTTTACCTCTGGGACTTCGCCTCCGGTTCCTGTCCAAGGCGTACCTTTTCCTGTGCAAGCTCTTCGGCACCGCCTGCACCCCACGCCCCCCGGCCGCCTGAGGCCCCGCCAGCCCGCGCCCTGTCTCCCCAATTCGTGCTTTGCGCGCCCCGCCTAGCTCTTAACCGGAAGAGGCCCGCTCTCGACCCGCAGAACCAACACTTTTTTTTCTCTTCGCCTTCCAAGGGCACAAGTTGGGATGCACCTCCTGGGATGTTGAGAGTTCAGCATCGGCGATGGTATAGCCGTGGCCTACTCCGGCAGGATCCCACCCCATGCCGCTTAATATTGCTTTGTTTAGTGCAATCAGGCCCAATCCTGGTCTGCTTGTGGCAAGCCCTAGCTTCATGACCCCTTTCGGACATAACAGGCCTTGATCGTTCCGACGAACACCTCTCAGGAGCCGCCTCCTAAAATATCAAAGTTCACGGGCAGCGGTACCGTTACGGTGTGTCGTTTCAGGGGGGGACGCATCGACGCCTAGCCGCCCATTGGTCGCCGATACAGTCACCGCATAGCAAAGATGGGCAACCTTCCTATGTGCACCCTTGCATCCTTGCCTCCTCGGTCCATCCTTGGCCACTTTCGTTGGCCGAGCCCCGCTCGCAAAGCTTCGAAATGGGTTTTCAATGCCCTTGCATCCTTATCGCGCATCCTTACTATACGGGTGGACTGTAGCCCACCCCCGTAGAAGAACGTGCGGATTCGTTATCGGGGGCATATCGTTTATTCGTCGGCGATGTATCGCCGATGCCAGCTCCATGTGTCCCCCCCCGCAGGGATGGCCCCCTTTATCGCTGCCCCCATCGGATGTTTTTTCCCGCATGCTTGAGTAGCTTCTTTCTTCCGTGTTACTGTCGAAGCGGATACGGAAAGATGGGAACCTTTGGCAGCAGTCCTCGCCCATTTGGAACAGGGCTCGCTGTCGGTGCCGCTGCGGACGCTGTCGATTTGAGACCAGGGAACGCCTGCCCAAGAGCGGCCGCTGTCGGTGTGGGCTAACCGTTGCTGTTGGGCATCCATGTCCGGGGCGTCGTAAAGTCTGGCGTCGTCTCGCGAAGTCGCCAGGGGCTCATGGCCGATTCCGAGTTTGCGTTTTCGCCAGTCTTTTCTATCACTGCCCCTCGGGTGCTGATGGGGCAGGGAGGGAGGGAGATCAAGGTTCGATCGTCGAGGGTCGATATTCTTTGGGGTCGTCAAGGGGCGTCGTCTCGCGCGGCCGAGGTGTCCGCGCGCCGCTCCGCCCTGCGCGACTTCCTGCTGCGGGGGGCGCTGGCGGAGATGATGGGCCTGTTTTCCAACACCACCATCATGAGTTGGAGGGGGGAAGGAGGTGGAGGATGAGGAGGAGGAAAAAGAGGAGCAGGAGCAGGACCCCCTTCCCCCCCCTACTCGTGGTGGTGGCGGTGGAGAAAAAAAAACACCAGGAAACGTGGGTCCCGCAGTGCGGGCCTGTGCACGTGGCGCCCAGCGCGAGAGCCGAGCGCGAGGCGCTGCACGCGGCCATCCAGGCCCTGCCGGGAGTAGCATCGGCGTCATCCCACATTTTCATATTCTGTTCTGGACGCCCGAAATCGGTACGGAAAGAATGGGTACAATGGACATGTAGTGTTAGAATGTCTCTGAGCGTCTCATGGCACACTCCTCAGGAGGGGAAGAAACACACAGACACACTTCATCGTCGATCCCCACGGAAATATGAGGAAATATGGGAAGGGGGGGAAGACGAAAACCCAGAGAATAGGAGAACATGTTGGGAATCCTTGGATTTGTGTGTTTATTTGTGTGTCTCAGGGCCCCTTCAAATCCATTCCTCCGAATGTGGCGGATTGAATTGGGCATGGAGAGAATGGTGACGAAGTCCGGCATCATTCGCTGTCGGCATCGTCGCGGACGTACTCCTTTGAATCAAGTCGCCTGCCCAGCAGCGGCCGTTGATGGGTTTTGGACAGCACGTATTGCTGGGCACTGCACCCAGATGTTCCGTAGCCAATTCGGGCGTACCAAAGATCACGGAGCGCGTTTCACCACTCGCAAAGTGCCTACTTGCAAACGTCAGCAAAAACACATGTCTGCTTCGATGTAGTTTATCGTAGATGCCCCGCGGCGGATCCAGGTCATTTGCGAGTTGTTTCCGTGCGAGTAATGGAACGCGCTCGTATAAAAGAGGGCCTGGAGGGCCGGGCGCGAGAATTGCAGCAGGAACATGGGGGCCATGGCTCGAGCCGTGATTTTTGACGATGTGTGTTTTTGTTCCGCGACGTCGGATCTCTGGGGGGCGGAAGGGGAAATTCCACCAGCCCTCTCGGGCGTGAATGGTTTAGCGAGCTTCTTCTTCCATACCCCCTTCTTTCCCCTTGGGGAGGGGTGCATCCCTCAATCACAACCTCCACCCCTGGACTTGGACGGGGGTGGTCAAGGGTACTTGAAGCGGCCAGGATGGCCAAAGATGGCGCCAAGAGGGCCTCAGAGAGTGGAAGATGGCTCCGGATAGCGCAAGATCGTTCAAGACGGTTTCCAAGATGGCTCCGGATAGCCCGGATAGCCCCAAGACCGCCTCACGATGTCTCCAAGTGTCCAAAGAGCTCACCAAGGAAGTCCCCAAGAGACCACCAATTTTCAAAAGCCTAAGGACACTCAATGCTTTCGGCTTTCTCGCCTTTTCGCTTCCGATGGCCGACCGAGGCCTCAAGATGGCTCCACGATGGCCCAAGAGGGCCCCAAGAGGGACCCAAGAGAGCTCCAAGACGGCCCTAGGGCGGCCAAGAGCGCCCCAAGAGGTGAGTTGAGGCACTCTAGAAAGGGCAAGGCTAATTGAAGTTCTTTCGTATTGGTATCGATGTCTTCCACGATGGCTTCAAGAGCGCCCCTGAAGCTCCTAAGAGCGCACCAAGAGGCGCCCAGGCGTCTCCAAGAGGCGCCCAAAAGGCCTCCAAGAGGCTCTCAAGGGACCCCCAAGAGGCTTCAAGAGGATCCCCGAGGAACCCGAGACGCTCAAAGACAGCCATGGGCCCGCCAGGATGCCCCCCCAGACGCCCCAAGAGGCCTCCAGAACACTTCAAGTGACATCCGAGTAGACCCCGAGAGGCATTCAAGAGGCTTCTGGTTCTTCTGTTCGCCCTTGTCCTCCTCCTCCTCCTCTTCCTCCTCCTCCTCCTCCTCCTCCTCCTCCTCCTTCTCCTCCCCCTCCACTTCCTCATCCTCCTCCATCCGCTCACTCCTCCTCCTACCTCCTGCTCCTCCCCCTCCAAAGCCTCCTCGTCGTTATTTTCAACGTTTTCCAACGTCTTCTCTTCTCTTTTTCCTCCTCCTCATCCTCCTCTCCTTCCTCCTCCTCCTCCACCTCCCCCTCCTCCTCCTCCTCCTCCTCCTCCTCCTTTCCCTTCTCCTCCTTCTCTTCCTCCTCCCCCTCCGATTTCTCCTCCTTCCCCCTCTTGGGGTCCGACGGTTTCTCCATCTCTGTATGCCCCCCCCACGTCCTTGACCATGGCCGCACGTCTGGCCATCGTCTCTGGATGGGCTGCCCTACTCCTTCTCCTCTTCCTCATCCGCCTATTCCTCCTCCTCCCTCGTCCGTCCTTCCTCTCCCCCTCCTCATCCTCCTCCTTCCACTCCTCCTCCACCGCCTACATCCTCCCCCTCTCGGTGTAATTCCCCAATCCCTGATTCCAATGCATGCTCCTCCGCACCCTTAATCAGGGCAACTCGCCTGGGCATCGTTTCTGGATGGGCTGGTGGGAATACTTTTTTTTTGTTGGTCGGCGGCTCCCAGGCGACGGTCTAGGAGCGGAAGCGGCGTCCGGGGCGGCGGAACGGTGCGAATTTGCGAACACATTGGTGGGAATACGCGAAGCGTTTAGAGTTCCGATACCGCTGCTCGTCCTTGAGTTTTGGTCGCCACTGCGGGGTTCTTTACGGGATTCTGGTCAGACTGTGCCCTGGGAGAGGTCCGTGGAGTAGTTTGCGATTTTGATAACGTGCACAACCTTCCAACCAAATTATGATTCCCCTCTCCCCCACGGATCCCGACTGCCATTACTTCGCAGCTCAAGAATGTTTGTTGAAGTTCCCCGCAGGGAAACATTCCACAGAGACGGGGACGACTGATACATACGCACATGCATGCTTACAGGTGTGTATACATGTGTGCGTATACATACACACATACATATACCTACCGACCTACCTACCTACCTACCTGCCTGCCTGCCTGCCTGCCTGCCTGCCTACATACATACATACATACATACATACGTACCTACCTACCTACCTACCTACCTACATACAGACAGACAGACAGACAGACAAACAGACAGACAGGCAGACAGACAGACAGGCAGACAGACAGACATACAGATAGACAGGCAGACAGGCAGACAGGCAGACATATATTGGGACAGGGCTGGTGGCTCACAGGGCGGCCCATTGACTCGCCATGGGGGCCCCGGGGCTCCAGGAACGCGCTGGGATCCCAGGAGGCTGAAGACGCCCCCAGGAGGCTCCAGGAGAACTCCAAGAGCGGTCCAAGAGGACTCCAAGACAGCCCCAGAGCGCCCTAAGACGCCCAAGATGGCCCCAAGAGTTTCCGTAGCCATTTTGGCTCAAGCTATTTGGGCTCAAGCCGCTTCGGAGCGTGAGGTATCTCTGCTCGGGGAGCCCGCAAGGCGGACTTCGTCTAGCTCCGCGCAGGCGGCCGCCCTCACAGTGTCGGTGTTTCGAAGATGGACGGGGAGGCGCCCGACGGCCTCATCGAGGCGCCCGTAGACGGGATCTTGCAGGGAGTGCCTGTCAATCTGGTGCAGCCAGCGGCGCAACTAGCGGCGGTAATATGCATAGTTTCGTTGTCGGGGGATTACATGCTGAAGCTTCGCGCAGACTCTGCGTCGTGCGTATGCCTGAAAACTTTGAAGGAGATTCTAGGAACGCTCAGACAAGTTATCCATTCAGGCTCTGGTCCAAACCATGAGCTGACATCGAAGCGAGCGAGGAGCAAGCGCGTGGCTGTAGGCGTTATCCTCTGCCGGTATACCAAGTGGGGCCTGTTGATCATCCCTTTTGGCACCATCGGTGCCGATGGGATTTTCTTCTTGCTGCATTACACAGCTTTCTTCATATACGCAACTTTCGTGCCAATTGCTCCCAGTCGACACACGCATCGAGTACAGCATGCAGCATACTTGTTTTTCATGGCATCGTACAGTTTGGGGCTGTCGCCGCTAGTGATTTCTTTTCGTGGGCCTGAGTCCAACCCCGAATGGTATATACGGCGGGCGCTGTATGCATCGGGGATGTTTTCTCTATACGACATTAGCTTACTCATCAACATCGTCGGGAATTGTAGTATGTGGACTTTAAGGGTAGCTCTTTGGGATATGTTATAGTATCGGGAGTATAGCTCGCGCGCCGTTGCCTTTGGCTCAAGGCACGCGCGCCCTATTTGCCCGGACACTGCTTGTGTTCGTTATGTGCTGGAAAGATCACTACATCGATCTTATCCTATCTTATCCGTCCATTCCTCTTACTGAACCGCCTCAGTACGATACCGGACGCTATTTGCCATCCGCTTCCAATGGAATCGGATGCTATTTGAGTTACCAGGCTCACTTTCGACTTGGTAGCGGAGCTGGCCGCACCCTCGTGTGGTCAGCTCTTGCTCTTCTCATCCTCATACTCTTCGGCACGATCCTCGTGACCACCTACCACCCTGCGCTACCACTCCCAGTACGTTTACGAGGATCTATCCAAGAGCAAGAAGCAACACGAGAGGTACGACGTCTAGACAACAACATTGGTACCAGATGCGCTTCATCACTGCGCTACTACCAACCGCTCGGCAACGAGCCAAAAGCGCAATACTTGAAGCATGGGCGGAGAGATCCGCCAGATAAAGCGCCTCGAAGACTCAACAAGGCGCTACCCCAGCGCGGCAACGCGCCTAATCACCACCCCTATCTACACAGCCTTGGGCTGGTTATCTTCGCTATCATATGGTTCGCGCTGGGGGCAGCAATCGGACACATGCGCCGCGGAGAAAACAGTACCGATGGGCAAACGCATGGCCCATACTGGGACCCTCAAGGCAACGTACCTTTTCGTGAGTACGTTTATGAGGTCAACGCATGGCTCAACGTCACTAGCGGACGTATGACGCCACAGGCCCAAGCGGCCGCCATACAACGCGGCCTAGGTGGCCTAGCGAGGACACTCGCCATGAGGGTACCACCTGACATTATAAACTATGGTGCTGACATCGATGGGGTCCACACAGACCCAGTGACCTACATCGCGTTCCTCCTAAGCATGAAGTTCGAGCGCCTGGAAGATGAGCGCCAGCTCACTTCCGGCACACAGCCCATCGACTTCCATGTGCCTCACGGAGAACGAATCGATGTCACTCTAACCCGATTCGAAATGGCCCGACTTGAGGCACAGTCGGTGGGACTCGACCTTCCCAACTTCCAGTTACTAACCACGATCCTGTTCCGCGCCTCAGGCGTCCGCAACCAGCGAG